CTTATATATGTATCTCTATATCTGGTTCTAGACATTGGTGTGACAGCTGATTTTCCACTAGACAGGCTCTGTCCAAGAAATGTTTGACCAATTTGAAGCATTTCTACATACTTTTACTAAGTACAGCAAGGGTGTGTTTTTATTTATTTTCCATGAATCTTTTGGATGGCATAAAATGTATTTTATTAATGCATAATCATGAGATTTAGCTTGTATTTCTGAAAATGAAATTACTCTTCTTAAGTTTTATCTTTTCTGCCTTGCAACTGTACATGCTCTGTAAATTTATATTGTGATATAACTTTATGTGTTGGATAGTATTGCAATAGAATCTAGGTGTCACAAGGATTTTATTATTTCAAGCCAAACCCAATCACAGCAGCCATAAAATAAATACATCAAAAGTAAAGATTAAGTTCCATATTTCACAAGTCAAGATGTTTTTGTAAAACATCTCATTATTTGAGGTATGAGAAAGAAGATTCTAAATAAAGCTTATGCTTTTTCTGTAGTTTAAGAATCTTGTTTGTATTTCTTCAAGACACTGATGAACATTTTGTAATTAAGTTTCATTTTTTTGTTGCTCTTATATTCTTCTCAGAAACTTAATTTTCAGTTATTTTTAAGGCTTGCTGAAATGCTTTTTTGTACAGTGAAACCTTCTTAATTAAAATTCATTTGTAATGAACTAACTTTTCCTGATTATCAGTTGGTTTAATCAGTCATTCTGAATACAGTGAACGTTATTAAATGAAAAAGTTATTGATCAATAAATGCAAGGGTGCAAACTAGTAAGGGTGGGAGTGCAACTGATAAACGAAAAGCAACTACATGTACAATAAATTTATCAGCTTCTTATTCTATTTGTCATAATTATTGTCAGTGGTATTTCAATTATCTTCATATGAAACATCATTTTTTCCATCATACAAAGACTTAATTACAGAATACCAAATACATAGTATTGGTGAAATAGAAAACAAACCACTTTCCAAAGAAGGATGTCATTACAACTTGCTTTTGAACTGAATGTTTTTTTGTTGTTTAAGTTTCTCAGCAAGTTTAAGCAAAACATACATTACCTTTTTTTTTTAAGGCTACTTTATTCAGATGGGCTAGCTCAACTGGTGGATCACTTTCACCATATTTTTGAAGAGCTAAGAAGGAAATGTTATCTTCATATAACAACTCTTGATCACTTGATGATGATCAGCTGACATAGCATTATTACTGCCTGCAGAGATTGTATTGATCAACACTTGCTGCTTCACATTCTAGCTTGTCTTTTTTTTATTATTATTATTCCAAAGCTTTCTTTGAAACATTGCACCCATCTTCTGGAGTATCCAAACTCTGCTACACCAATCTGTTGTTCAAGTTGATTGCTTTCTTAATAACACATGTCGGAAGATACAGATATTGTTCTATGTTTGCATGCATAATAATGGAATATTTACTCACTTTTCTTTGCTGCAAAGAATGTCAGTGATGGTTGATTTGCCCACGATAACATTTCTTTCTACACTGAAATGCCCACTGACTGTATCAAGTCTTGCACTTGGAATTGTTTTGTTATATATAAAAAAACATCACATTTTAATTTTAATCATGCTGTTATTTCTACTCATCTTTGTTTTGGAGCACTGTGATTTGACATGACTGTAGCATAAATCATTTTGATGGCCTCTGGCCATTTGTTATACTTTGTATATACATCTCTACTTTGAAGATCATTGACTTGACTCTTCCAGAGTTGTGTATGGATCACTGTATCATGTATCCATAGGCACTGTGTATTTGTTATTAAAAAACAAAATGGCTGTTTGAATTCAGAAAACAAACAGATTATTATTATTAGATTTTTATGTATGAAAAATCATATGGATTGTAAATAATCCAGATTATCCAAGTCTGGATTAATGAGGGGTCACTCTATACAAATAATTCTTGTATGCTTTTCAACTTTAAGCTGAAGGAATGACAGTAATCTTCCTCAAATAGAAAAGTAACATTGATTTACAGTTATATTTGATCAGTATAATCTTAAGCTAAACTTAACACACACAAAAAAGCCTTTGTATTTAGCCCACTACTGAATGATGGAGTATGCTAACCATGCAAGTAATTATCTGTCTTGCTAATATGGTCACTCCCGATGTTTCTCCATTTTGCATAATGTCGAATTTTATCTACAAAAGGACTATTGCAGATGTTAACAACAAAGGTTTGACTGTGATTTACGTCATGATGAAACCTACTAAAATACATTCAGTAGTAGTAAATGTACATTTAAAACCATAGCTACATGTTATTGCTGTACATAAAAGTAAAACATTTATGATAATAAAATGTTTTAAATTATGTTAAGTTGTGTAAATATATGCAGGTTATTTACCTAACAGTTTTAAAATGTCAAGGTGTTGCTAACATGTTAGAATATTCAAAGTTTCATTTAGGGTTCTGTGTTGATTTTTTGTTTCTAGAATGTATGGGATTTTTTTTAATAAATGAAAACCAGAAGAAAAACTATTGAAAAAAAATTGACTAGTGTTGCCTGGAGAAAAAAAATCTGTATTAATATTTGTTACCATTACAGTAATATTCACCTGCAATGGTACTTTAATAAGTATATGAAAAAAAGTAAAAACTCTTGCTCAGTCAAAATGTACTTAATTTTCTATGTTTAGTAATATTATTCAGCCAATCAGCTATTGTTTTTATAAGTTTCATTTGCCTCTAATAAGTTAAAAACGTGTGTGCTTCTTTTACAATACAAATCCTATTAGTGTTAGTAGTAATTTTATGGAGTACTTCACCATGAGAGCTAAAACTGAGTAAAGCTTAAACTAAATTTAAATTGTTTTCAAAGTGGATAATAATTGGCAGATATTGTTTAAAATTGAAGCCAAAGATTTCAGTTTTATCATTAACTTGCAAGTTCTCAGAATTTACACATTTTAAAAACAGGTGATGTGCAAAGAAAACTAATATGCTTGATAAAGAAATGTAACATATTTCAATTAAACATTTGATAAATATTAAACATTCCTAAAGGAATAAATTTTATAAAGTTGGTAAGTTTTAGCCATAATTGTGAACAAAGCTGAATGAAGTCTTAAGTAAAGCAGCAGGTATATTTTCTGGCAAAATAAAAAAGTGAATAAACAATGAATTTCTTTGTAAACATTCATTCTGTTATTTTCTAAATGTCTTACATTTAATTCAATTTTTTATAATTTCTCAACAGTAACTTATTTTTAAACATTTTTTCATTGTGTGCTTCATAACTTTTTTTTAAGTTTTTAAAACAAAAACTACTGTTAAACCTGTTACACAATGTATGTAAACTAAAATAATGAGAAAACAGAAAAATGATATGATCTGTACATTTTATTATCAGTTGTAATCAACCAATTTACTCATGTATGATTTACCATTATTATCCTTGTTAAAAATAAAATATTTATCCTAGTATAAAATACTGCTGATCTTGTATTATATGAATAGGCAATACAAGCAATAGTTTCACATATTTGTATTTAAGGTGATTCAAAGTCCATTATTGGCAAGTAATTCAGAAATGGAGAGATGTACAAAAATAATTGTTAGTGGCAGGGAATGAGGTGTTGTGGGTCTACCCTGTGACAAGATCATTAGTGTCTTTCAAAAATTTTATTAATATGCATCACATACCAAAAATGTCAATTAAAGAGCTGTAGACAACAACAAATGAAACAATTAAACCAAAATTACTAAAATCACTTGACAACAACAACATTTATAAATGCAGATGAGCTAAATATCCTAACAATATTATGAAAAGATGGCAAACAATCAATAGCTATGTTTAAAGTGCTGCCCAAAAATGACGAATGTCAGTAAGGCAGTTTTTTTTGTTTCTGTCTTAGTCTGCCTGCAAGGCACTTATGCATAACTGAGCCTGTAGAATACAGCTGTTGAGAAACATTTGTTATCTGATGTGAAAGATGACATTCATCTGGGAATTGTTTGGTGTACAATCTGGCAGCACCTCAAGAATTCTGGTGACACTCTCAAATTAAACTTCAATGTTAGGTATTTGGGTTTAAATACCAGAGGTGGTTGAGAATCAATCGATTCTCCTTCATCCTGCTTACCATAATAGTTTGA